GGAAGAGGGGACGACAAGGAGCTCCTCTCTCTTCTTGTCGACTGAGAGGCAGCCGGAGTTCTTTTTTCCCGTGAAGTTGGAAGGGTTCTCTGCTCATTTGAAATGCTGCGGTAGAGGATGTGCCAAGGGATCTCTTCCTTACCCTTTTGGGGAAAAGAAGCTCATTTCTTGCGGATGACGAAGCAGCGAGCTCCCTTCATTTATCGTCAGAGGAGATGGTGGGAGGAAGCTCTCAGTGATTTCTTGTGGAGGATGAGGTAGAAAATCTTTTTTTTGGAAGCTAGGGGAGCTCTATCCTTTCTTGCTAGGAGCGAGGTCTCCTCAATCTTCTTAAGACGAAAAGGCGACATACCAAGAGGTAAGAAGGATGCTCTCTTCTGTTGCCACAAATCACCTTGGGACTCCCTTCTTGTGTTTTGGAGCATGAGGTCTTTTCCTTTTAAATGCTGAGGGATGACCAGATGTCTCTACTTGAAAATTGGGGGAGCTCCACCCTTTCTTCTTGAGCGTCCTCCCCTTTTCAAGAAAGAAAGGAGGTCTCTTCTTGCCGAGGGGTAAACGGAGCCCTCTTCTTTCTCGTGAAGTTGGAGCGGCCTGTTTGCTTTGTTGAGATGGCGCTTTCTTCTGCCCCTTTAGATTGCTCTTAGTCTCTTCTTGTCGAGGATGAGGCAGAGGATTTTTTTGGAAGCTAGTTCAGAGGATGGGGTAGAGGGCTGCTCATGTCTTATTGAAGGCTAGGGGGAGGATCAGACTCTTCTTGTGAAGATTGAGACCAAGCCGCCGAAGAGTCTGCCGGCGACTTCTCGCTCGAAGCGCTGGCCTGGAAGCCGCATATCGATCAGAACGATCGGCGGCCGCGTTGGCCTTAGCGCGGGCTCAGCCACGACATTTCAGCATCGCACACGAAACCCGGACAGCTCAGTCCTCACTTCTTGAAAGCTATCTCTCTTCTATCCCTTGAGGAGGAAGAGGGGACGACAAGGAGCTCCTCTCTCTTCTTGTCGACTGAGAGGCAGCCGGAGTTCTTTTTTTCCCGTAAGTTGGAAGGGTTCTCTGCTCCTTTGAGATGCTGCGGTAGAGGATGTGCCAAGGGACCTCTTCCTTACCCTTTTGGGGATAAGAAGCTCATTTCTTGCGGACTTGCGGATGACGAAGCAGCGAGCTCCCTTCATTTATCGTCAGAGGAGATGGAGACTTACAGGGAGGTAGAGGAGCTCGCTGCTAGGAATCAGCTGAATGATTTGGAGGGACTTTCTCCGTGTTTTCGTTGAGGGTTGGGGGGAATCTCCACCCTTTCTTGATCCGTCTGTCTACATTCCAAGGAGCCCCACCAATGTCGATGAGGCGAGACGAAAGATTCTATACTTGTATTGAGTATGTATAGAGAGACGTCGGTTCAGTACAATCGCGATATACCTACGTCTATAGTATGCAATGAAAACCCACAGTTTCAGCTGGCGACTATATCCTGTTTAAGCCGGCCAACCCCCCCCCCCCCACCCTGAAACAAGAGAGAGGTGCAGCCCCCTTGGGCATGGTTAGACTCTTTACACAGCTCTTCTATGCAGAAAGCACGGCGACCCAAAGTCTCCATTCCGCACTAGTGACGTGAAGGAGCCCGGGAAAGGCCCCACCGGCAAGGAGCGCAGGAAGGCAGGAAGCTTACAGAGGTCCTTGCCTTTCCACACAACCGTGCGGCTGAGCAGATCAAAGCACCGCTCCAGATTTTCAAAGGACGCATGCCATGCCTTAGTCGCGAGCGTCACTTCCCCACTAAGGAGGCTGCTGGAGACGCAATCGGAAGGAACGACGAGGCGAACGTCCATATGGACACCACTAATTCTGTGTATCAAGCCAATCAGGTTCCAAAGGTGCAGAGCGCGCGACAGAGTACTCTCCGAGCCGACAGGATGCTGCTCCTGGACAACTAAGGCCGACGCGGCTGATCTAGAACTCGGAACAACGACCACGGAGACCCCTGTGGAGCTTATAGAGCACCACAAGAGCGGTCCTGAGGGTAGTATCCTAGTCCCCTGTATGTTACAGACCGAGCATGTATAGGCCTCCTCAGGGAAGAACCTGAATGGCCGCAGAACGGCTTCGGCTTTGTCAATGATCAGAAGTTGGCGGCCTCAAAGATCGGTGGAGGGAGGCCCCGTCCCCCAGTGCTTGCACCAGGGCTCCAGAAGTTTTTGCCACAGAGGTCTATTGAGGGCTGCAGATTCCCACAGGGCCGGATGGCAAGCTTCTCTGAGCTCTGCAAAAACAAGCTGTAGCTTGCGGGGAATGATTTTCGAGACCCATCCCGGCAGGGATCTACCTGCCATGAGTCCAATGTTCCCATATTCGTGCATCAAGAACTTCAGAGGCGTGGAAACTGAATTTCTGGCGGCATGGCCCCAGTATCGCCAGACCTGCTTCAGCCACTTCTGGTCCCACGTCTCCAGTTGAAGTGTATGCAGGACACATTTAACAGCTCTACGCTTCGCAACTACATTATGCAAGAACTCTCCAAAGAAGTCGGCACGAAAGCCGAGAAGTCCCAACAGCAAGGTCGTCTGATGACTAGTAAGGCTCCGCAGGGAGACCTTAGTAGGCCAGATGAGCCCGCTGCACCAGAGCCATCTCGAGGTAACATACAGGTCAAAAAGCTGGATTTTCTTGACCGCAGGCAGAAGTCTCGAGTTGAAAAGGTTCCGCATAGCGAAGAAGGTATTAGAACACCTCCCCAACGCCCTTCCGAAACATGTCATCGGGCTGAAGTCAAATTGCAGTGGCACCCCCAGATAAAGGACGGACGCCTCGGTCTTAAGAGGAGCACAGTGTCCACGGAGAAAAATCCCGTGGCCAACCCCCTCCTCCGTGTCAAGCACTGAGCATTTGGCCGCGTTGACTCTGAGATTCAGTGTGGACAGAAGGTCGACTACTTCCTGCGTCATCTGCTGCAGCCGAGCGGCCGACGGGGCAAGAAGAAGAACATCGTCAGCATATAACAACAAAAATGGAAGGCGCCAATCAGGCCAGCGCTGCTCCCAGGTGCGGATGAGGGGCCCTAAAAACCAGTCCAAGACTCGTCCGAAGAGGACTGCGCTGTACGCAGTCCCTTGTAATAGGCCTTGCTTAAGGGGCACAGACCATGCTCTCGATCCGAGCCTCATGTTGACACTGCACGAAGAACACAGGTCCCACAACAGCCAGGCTTCGCGGGAAGGCTGAGTATGGCGCAGAAATTCGAGTATGGCATCAAAACTCAAACTGTCAAAAGCAGCCTTCACGTCTAACTTGGCAATAACAGGCCTCGACTTGTATCTAGAAACGGCGAGGCGCATGGTCATGTGTGCGGCCGCCACTCCATCTATCGTCTGCACTCCTTTGCGCGCTCCGAATTGTCCAGCATCGAAGGGAGGAAAGCGACTTTCCAGCCTAGCAAGGAGAAGCCGGGAGTACACCTTGGCCATACAAGACGTGAGAGCAATAGGGCGTAGATCCGCAGGCCCTTTTGGCTGCGGTGTCTTGGGAAGAAGAACGATATTTCCTTCCCTCCAAGATGCAGGCAGTGGGAGGTCCCCCGACAAAAACCGGTTGAACAAATGCAAAAGTTTTGCCCCGTGGTCAGAGACCGCATAGGCATAAAGGGCCTCGTAAGGAACCCCGTCCTCACCAGAGGACGTGCCTCGCTTGATCTTACTAGTGGCTTCCACGAGTTCTTTAAGGGTGAAAGGTACCCACGGGGCCTCCTCGTGCAAAGCTCGGACTGCTTCAATTTTGCCAAGGTCCGCACCAGCCCCTGCAGCATCATACTTCCGGTTGTAAAAGTCTCTCAGCTCCTCGGTGGCCGTCTCCAGCCCCCCTCTAGACTGGATGTAAGACCCAGCCACCTTCGTCTGAGACGCACTGCGCCTGAGGTAGGAGATAGCTGCAAAGTCGCCCGAGCGAGCCCTTTCCAAGATGCTTTTACGATGAGACTCCTGGTCCAGGCATCTTTGCTGTGCAATCTCTAGGGCCAAGGCCGCCCTGAGAACTGGGTCCTGGGCCACTTTTCGCTGCCGGATCAATTCCTTAATTTCCTCCGAATCCCGGTAGCGGAGAGAGGCCTGTCGAAAGCGCACCTTAGCGAAAACAGAGCTAAGGTCCTCCGCTGTGTGCGCCTGGGGAAGGGAGGCGAATTGAGTAGCCCAAGCCTCCGGCGAGAAGCACCACCTGCCGCAGTTCGAGGTTCTGCGAGTCCTGTCTCTAGCTTTGCGGCAAAAAGAAAAATGCACTTGAACCATATCGTGGTCAGAGGGAAGTGCCAGTCGCAGGTCCTCGCGTTTGGTGGTGTGCCCTAACATGCCCTGATGGCGAAAGAGGATGAAATCAATGGGCGCCGACAAGCCCCTGGCATGCCAAGTGTCCCCCACGTCATCCGAAAAGCGTAGCATGAAACGGGCAGCCATGAGTCTAAGCTGGGCAACGGCGGGAAAATTGTCAACTTCCACATAGAGTGGTTGGTTGAGGTCAGCCCCAACAAAAACAGTGCAGCAAGAGGACAAGGAGGACAGTACCACGGTGAAACTTTCCAATGAATCGAGCCAGACCTCAGTCGCGTCATTTCTCTGTTCATACGGAAGGTGAAGGGAGCCAAGGAGAAAGTGGGAAGATCCCAAAAACAGTTCAACAAGAAACCCAGCAGAAAGGGAAGTAAACTTCGGAGCAGACGGCTCCATGGCCGATTGCACTGCCACCGCTGTCGCCAGGTGTGCCTTGGTGGTATTATGGACGTACACAACATACTCTGAATCGCCGATGAAGAGGTCCAGGGTGGTCGTTTGACCAACCTGCAGGTGACTAAAGCCTCCAACCTCCTGCATGCAGAAAATTTCCGGTGCATCCGCAAGATTGTGAAAAAGCGGGGAGAGACTAGTGACTGGCTTACCATGAAGGTTCCACGTTGAGCATGTGCAAGCAATCGAATTAATGGCCGTGACAGAACGAGAGGGTTTAGGGCTCTGCCCCGGTCCCTACCCAACCAACCTCCTGCGTACCTCGTCTTCACTGACCTGGAGCAAAGACGACACCTTTCGCAGCGAGACCCACCAGCCGCTTTCGTCTCCACGCGTAGAAAGAAACATAAGCGCGTCATCTGTAGGATCATCGCGGTCGACATGATACAGTACCTGGGTACCATTGTACCACAATCGACCTTTCCAGTCGAGGTCCACCAATTGCGGTGGGAGATGGGCAAGGCCTAAGTCCCTGAGACCCAAGAGCGCCCTGTTCCGATTCCTCTCCTCAGGCCCCCGGTTTCGTGAGACCCAGAGCGAAGCACGCTCTTGCCCCATGATGGTGGATTTCTTCCCCCGTGCGTCAATTGCCTTTCGCAGAGCGACAATCACAGCCTGTTGAACACCCCTGCGAGCCCCAAAACCTTCATCCAGGTACAAAAGCTCCATCCGACAAATGTTCGAACGGACAAAGGGCGTGATAATGTTCTTGAGCAGGGGGGAGGCCCCCGCTTCCTCAAACAAAGCTCTGACTTCAGCTTGGATCTCTTCCCGTTTCGCGTCTGCGTAGCCTCCAAGGACTAATTGCCAGTCGTCTACTAGGGGCCCAGCCACTGAGGACCCAGCCGGGCTAGGTGCCTGGCCTGTGCCGGCTCGGAATCCCGAGGTGCCCCCGCCACGACGGGGGGTCTGGACAGGACTGACGGACCTACTCTTGACCTCACGGAGCTCAGATTCCATGTCTTTCATACGTTTAGCCATCTCATCCCTGAAATGGCCAAACTCGTCCTGCTTAGCCTCGACCCTTTCAAGCCGGGACCCCATCTCGCGAAACTCCGCTCGCTGTTCATGGACGTTAGCCAGAATCTCTCGTTGTCCTGCCTGAAGGGAAGCTTTAAGCCCGTGGAGCCAGGGCGGCTCATCTTCCTCACCAATGTGGTGATGAGTTGGGACAGGAGGCCCTCGAGGGACCTCAGCTCCAAAGACCGGAGCCGGTCGCAGTCCTGCCGAAACTCCTGTAGGCTGAGGGTTCGGTTTTGTTCGTTTCGGAGGGCTACCATGACGGGCAGAGGGAGGAGGCGGCATTTTATTAATCCTACGGGAGTCTACCTCCAAGGCAGCTTGCAAGGCAGCATTATAGCATGGTCCCTATCCGTGAGGGCTTGCGCGGTGTGGAGGGGGCTCTCCTCTCTCGCCGAAGCAGCAGCACGGGCAGCCTGACGAGCAAGAAAATTTGGGTCGTTTCTCTCACTTCCCATAGGTTCACGAACGGGCATCCTCGGGTGTTCGACAGGCTCTCGCCCTGGGAGAGGCAAGGTGAGGCCTGAATTAGCAGCCATGTTCTGAAGAAGCCCTTCATTCCCATGCGCGCCTGCACCTCTAAGTTCACCAAAAGGCACAGTACTAGCTTGAGAGACATCGGTATCCCCTCGACCATCCTCGACATTTCCATCATCAGGACGCATATCAACATCCTCTCCCTCGCCAGGACCACGCACTCCCCCAGCCCCCTCAGGAGGCTCCCGAGGAGGAGCAGTATCCCTTTCATCAGGGTTCAGCCGAGCCATGCCACAAGGGAGGGATAAACCTCCTGGCAAAGCTCCTTGAGGGCTTTTGGGAAAGAGCACAGAGGAATAAACCTCCAGTCTAAGTGGGGGGGGCGCACTGACAAGCTGGGCTCAGAGCCCTCGAACCCAAACGGCCTTGAGCCGTAGCCATGTGGTGCCTACTGTTACTTGTTCGCAGTTGCATTGAGCAGAATATCTGAGAAGCTGCTACATGTAGCAGGGTTTCATGTGACACATTTTTGGATCTGGCATTGAGATTGGTTTCAAAGGTGTCAGGGTGAGGGATGCTACAATAATGTTCTTGAGCATGTGCAATTGCTTGATCATGAGACCGTTGACATCGTGAAGTAGATCATGGAAGGTCGTGCCTTTTTCAACATTATATAACAATAAGCATGGAGATTAACAACACTAAAGGAAACCTGTATTACATATCTAAACATATACAGATGTGTGCATACAGACGTATATATGTGTCTGTATATATATATATATATGTGTGTGTTTGATGATCTCTGTATATATATATATATATGCATATACGTGTCTGCATATCTCCGTGGTATATGTATATATATATATATATATACATGTTCATGTGTGGGCTAGCATGTAGACATATATGTATATACATGGCACACACAGACATGTTAGACAGAATTTCGGCACTACAGGTATATTCACTCTGTGCAAGCACAATGTTTGTGTGCATGTACATGTACTATATGTATACAGTGTGTACATGTAAAACATGTATGAGTGTAGAGCTCTATCTAGAATCTCCTGGTATGTACAAGAATGCACAGACCAGCATAGTATGTACATGGAGATGTTCATATAACTGCTAGGATGCTTGTTTGCATGCACACACACACATATTCAGACACATAGACATGTGCACAAAGACAGGCACATAACTGCATGCTTGGCTACAATGGTACATCTTACATATACATGTATTAATGTATAGTTCTGCTGAATAGACTTGTTCTGATATATATATATACATATATACACGACATTTGCAGACACAATCACAGGAAGATAACATCATGACATCATCGGTATGTGTATATACATATATGTTTATATGTGAGATGTTATATGCTTATACATGTGCACATGCATGTCTTTTTTTCTTCCAGACGCAGCGAGAGAGTCCGCCTAGCGAGTCCGTAGCAAAGCCGCTGTGGGCTTCGGCATCTCAAGGATGCATAACTACCGCACGTGCATCAGGCCATATTAGCCGTCAATGCCATTCCATCCATCGCCATTGTGAGCCTCAGCACATCGCAGACGAGCATACAGCCCAAATAAGGTATGCGTTGTGCGCCAACGCAGTGTGGTCTGCAGCAGTGCATGGTTGGGCATACATACCATCGTCAGTAATCCACGACTGAGCCTTTTTGCGCCATACGCATCTGTAATGCCCCGAATCTGCAAGTTCCCCATAGTGGACAATGCTCGCCACCACCTGGAAGGGTTTGTGAAGGATTGAGGACAAAGGACCCTCAGCATAAACAGGTAGCAAGATGTCAGACAGAATATTGTCCACACGCTTTGAGTCCTTGACTGTACGCTTGCGTTTCCCCGTGCCCACGGCATTGAACCTCATCAGCTGAAAAAGCACAGAAGTCGTATCAGCAGTGATGGCATGCTGAATGGCCGAGTCATCTTGAGCACTCCACTGATCAATGCACGATTGTAAAGTCATGGAGTCCTCTGACAAAGGGAGGAGCACAGGTGCAAAAGCAGGACCGGAGTCCACAATCCGGCATTGATTATCAAACTCCTGCCTTGCTTGCCACAGGCCCAAGAATAAAGGTGAACGGATCCTCAGCACAATATGTTGAAGAAATTCGCCAACATCATGCTGCTGAAAGGGAGCAGCCCAAGGACTGATGAACATGATCCAGGTGAGGAGTCGACTGATGATGTCAAGTGCAGCGGCTCGCTCAAGCAACGCCTGGTATGCATGTCGTAGCTGTCCCAGGTCAGCCTCACAGGTGGAGCCAAGACTGTAGATCACAAAGAGTAGTGCGTTCAGAGCACTGTTCATGTAGCAAGTTTTGCTGGTGGGATTGGCAAGACTGATTGCAAGGAGGTCAAGGTGATAAAGCATGAGAGTGGTGGAAGAGTGAGGCGCCGACCCTCCCACAGGAAGTGCTGCAAGGTCTGAGCGAGGTACGAGTCGACCGGGCGATCCCTGCGGAGCCGGGCACCAAGGAGGTGCAGAACTGCGCAGTTGAGGGAATTGAAGAGGCTCCAAAGGGTGTCCCCATCCTGTCGCAACTCGATCTCCAGGACAAACTGGACCCATTGAGTCGCGTAGTTTTGGCTCAGCGGCCTCACACTGCCAAAGTGGCGAATCGTGGTGCCACTGATGAGCCGCTCTATCTCCCCCAGATCCTGCAGGAGGGAGTCCACTGATCGACTCTCCACTCGGGGAATCAATACCTCCTTCTGCTGTTCTGGGTCCCACTTCATGTAGTTCCAGTTGGATTGGGAGTCCACCCATTCCATGTCGTGAGCCTTCTTCTGCATCTCGACCATAGTGGCTGCTGTAAAGCCTTGGATCCTTCCCTTCAGCTCGTGAATCAGCTCGCGCAGCATGGTTTCTCGCAGAGAAGACTGGACCTTGTTCTGGTCCATCAGTTCTCGCCATCTCTTCGCCACCTGAGTCATGAATGGCAGAACTGACCCCGGAGGGTCGGGGCGGAAGAAGAAGTGAAGCTTCATGTCCTGCTGTACAGCTTGCAGCTGCTTCTCGTGGCGTAGAAGGAGCCTCGCCATCTGGCCTAGAACTGGGGGGGGTGCGGAGGACCCGCCCTGAGGTACATATCCCCATGCCTGAGCGTCCCACTCCGTCAGAGCTTCTCCTCCGCTTCCCGAGGTATTCCACCAAGGTTGCTTGTTTGGGCCCTGAGTCTGACCCGATCGCGGTCCCTTGCCCTTGCTCTTTCCCTTTCCCTTGCCTTTGCCCTTTCCCTTGTTCTTGCCTTTGCCTCTGTCCCCCGCTGCGGGCTCGGAACTCTGTCCTGCTTGAGGCATCGTGGCATCTGCCTGATCCTGTCTCGGTCTCTTGGTCGACGGTGGAGGAGTGGCTTGTGGGGCATCGGACGAGGGCGGATGACAGCAGGATACAAGGTGCTGGAACATTGCAGCCTCCTGGTCGCGGGCCGATTGAGACAGCGGTCCCTGGATGGAGGCTGGGCTGGTCGGAGCAGGTGTCATGGCTTGGGGCATAAGCTTCGATAAAGCAACAGAGTGTAATGACATGACAGCGTTTCCAATGCGTCTGTTTATCGAAGACCGTAGCGAGACAGTAGGGACAAGGTTTCACCACGGCACGTTTCATGAGCACGGCAAGCTCAAGCACAGACGGCCACAAACGATTCCAGCACTCATGTGCATTGGCAAGGTGCACTTTCAATCCCGCACTTGTCAAGCACCACTGTCCGCAGCATGGGCAATGATGTCTGAGTTCATCACGCAGGCCCTGCACAGCCAGCAGACTTTGCCAGCCATTGTCTTTGGCTTGGCGAAGGACCTCAGGACGTTGGATCACAGGAACAGAACTCAGTGGGCCCACTTGGGCTTGCCAATCTGTATTGCCCGCCTCCTGTCTAGAGCCGGATCCAGGCTTGTGAAGCTGCAGAGCAACGGCATGAGGAGATTCCAGCGGATTAGACCTGGAGGCGTCATGTGGCAGAGTGGCATGAGTCGGAGCAGCTTCCGGTGAGGGGCGAGCAATGGCCAGTCCCTCTTCCGAAGGAGGGGGGGCCTGAGCAGAATCAATCGAACCATGCGCATGCAGTTCGGGAGTCGGGAGAGGGGAAGAAGGCACTGGTGAAGTCGTCAAAGGCCGAGAATGTGTGGGGGGCAAGGTTGGAGCAGAGACCCCGAGAGCAGGGTCCAGTGCAGCACATCTGCCTTTCCGAATGTGGTCCTGGAGTACTGACAGCCTAGAGAATACTTTCTCACAGAGAGCACAGATCGGCATTCCTGCCACGGCGTGAGTCGTAATGTCAAAAGGTACCCCCAGCGCCCTCTTGGCGACTGTACTATGGTGATGTGAGGCTTGATGGACACGAAGTGTACGCAGATCAGGAAAGACGGCGGCACACGCTGGACATGCAAAAGTTTGCGCATCAGCAGCGACATCATCGGCTCCCTGTGAAAGGACATGCTCAGGGGCAACAGGGACATCACGGCGGGAGTGAGAATGTCCAGGATCCGGAATGAGAAGGAGATCACGCGCCAGGAGATCACATTTGTCAACCACAGACGTTGGTTCCAATCCCACTTCCACCGCCACAACTGTTCGTGCGCGCATGCTGTCAATTGCTCGTAGCAAAGAGGCACGCACCGTGGGAACTTCCAGCCTGGTGTGCAGTGCTGAGGTGCTCTCATATGTGAGATGCGATTGTGACCTGGACACCGCCCTCAACTGTCTGGTGTAAATCGCTTGCAGCCTACCTAACTGCCTGGAATTCAAGGGCAACGCGTGCAATCCATAAAGAAGAGTGGGAGGCAAGCAAGCTCTCCAAAGACGAAGTCTAAGATCCAGTGCAGGGGCTGAGGCCGAGGTAAGGAGTGGTCGTAATTTCGTCCAAGCACTCCATGCAGCAGCAATGCGGTGCTCAACTGATGAGGACACTGCTTGGTGGTATGAAATGGTGAGGCCAAGATAGATGTGTTCCTCCTTGAGAGGTATGTCCAGAGAGCGTCCAGCTGGAGTGCAGAAGTGCAGAACCCGTCCTTCGGAGCCTTTGCGCACATGACTCTTAAGCCAAGAGGGAGCGAAACCTCGGGTGAGTCTTAGCAGAAAAGCTGACTTCAGTTCATTGATCAAGAGATGTGACGCAATGAGCTGATCAAGGAAGCAACCGAAGCACCAAAGGGCCCCATCAAGATCCGTGACCTTGCGTAGATGCTTCCCTAAATGGAAGTCGTCTGCAAATGCAGTCAAATGCTTGGAAGTCCAACTGGCTTCAATGGTTTGATCAGTCTTTCTCATCACTACCGCCGTTGCTAAGGTCCATAAGAGCAGTGCAATCCGACACCCTTGGCGAACTCCTCTTTGCACATCAACTTGTGCGACCTCAGTAGAGACGCGTAGATGGTAATGCAGATCACGATGCCAAAGAACAATCAGCTCATACAACTCTGTTGGGACCGCAGCTTGCTGCAGGGCTTCACGTATCAACGGCCATTCCAACCTGTCAAAGGCCTGCGACAGGTCCAATGACAGTTGTATGGAGCCGCCAACACGACGGTTGGAGACGCTGCTAGCGGAAACCTGCGACCTTGGCATGACCGCGGCACATCTCCGCTGATAGACATCATACTTGGGAGGTTCGCAGTAGGCCTGGCCCTCAAGGCAGTGTCCCATCACCCGAAGAAGAGCCTGATCAGTGGATCTATCGGCTAAGTATGCGAATTGCGGGCGAAGGCTCAGGAATGCAGTAACGAAGGGTTTGAGCTTCGCCTGGATGAGGCCACACACGGCACGACCTGAAATTTCAGAAATGCCAAGTGGTCTCAGGTGCCGTGGCAGAGTCGGGGTGGCAATTTTCGGGAGGAGGGACATCCAGGTGTCCTTCCACTCTTGTGGTATACTGGTGGCGGTGGTAAGAACCTGACACAGCCACGGAGAAACTGTGGTCGAACATGCCACCCAAATCGACGTATGCGCCAGATGCTTGGGCGCGGCCTTATGTGGCGAGAGATGCCACAGTGCGCCCTCGACTGAGTCGAGATCAAGCTGAGCAAGAGGCAGTGAGGTGTGGCAGTCTTCGGTGATTGTCGACATCTGAGTCAGGTCAGGCGTGTGGGACCTATGATCAGTGGCATAGAGGTTATTGTAATACTTCTGTAGCGTGCGGACTTGTTCTGCATGCGAAAGGATCTCATTCTCAGGTCCCCGAAGTTGCAGCGTTCGGCGCTTCTGTTTGGGGCAGAGGCGAGATGCCAGTTGGAATAGAGCCCGAGTATCACCTTTCCGCGCAGCTGTTTCCATAATGTCCACTTGCGCTCGAAACCACTCAGCTTTGGACTGTCGAGTCGCCTGTCGGAAGGCCCGATGTGCCTTGCGGAAGCGACTGTAGGCGGCCCAAGCACTCCACAGGCGTCGCCTGGAGGTGGCAGCGGTGCCACGCCAATGTCGGTAAGCCGCCCACATGGCCTTGACAGATGTTGCCACTGTGTGTGATTGCCAAGGAACGATTCGGCCATTCTGCTTTTTACCTGGGAAGAGGGCTGTGGCCGCGTCCCGTAGTGCAATGTTCAGCTCCCCTACCGAGGCATCGGGTTGAGAGAGGAGGAACTCCCGGATTTCACTGTTAAGAGCAAGAATGCGTGAGTCCGTTCCATCACGACAGACCTGCGCGAGCGTGCCGGTATCCAAGATCGGAGCAGTGGAACGTACAGGGCGCGAGAGTGCACAGACAGGCGGAAGCTTGATTGATGCCATGACTGGTCTATGGTATCCGCCACCACGCCATTTGAACAGTGCCCAAGGAAGAGGCCCCGCCTGTCGGGCAAGCGGATCCCCAAGACCATGACGAATAAAAATATGGTCAATAAGCGAGGTGTGATCACCGTTCACAAAGGTGGGTTTGGCGGCCCTAGTCCAAGAATTCAAATGGAGCAGGTCACAGTCCACACAAAGATCGCGCAACTCGCGTGCGTCCGCAGGAAGGGTGCTGGGAAACTGTAGGACGCGATTACCAACCAAGCGAGGAAGCCGCTCCAGTGGCGTGTTAAAATCACCAGCCATAATCAGCACATTCCGAAGGTAAGGACTGAATCAGGCGTCGTGTCGTGGACCACACTTCCCTACTGAGTTGTTTGGCTGTGGCAGCAGCGGTAGCCCCTTTCTCAACAGCAAGGGAGGTGTGGTACACCTTCTGATAGATGTTGACAATGTCAAGGGTGCATCCCGAGAGTAGCAGTCGCACATGCATGACTCTCCCCGGTACAAGAGACGTGAAGAGAATAGAGTCCGAGGAACAGAGCTCTTCAGCAATCAGGACTGCAATACCGCCCGCCTGTGGAGAGGCCGTACACGAAGTGATGACATACCAGCCGGGCGTGTCGTAACGAAGGTCCTCCTTCCAGTGCGTCTCCTGGATGAGCATCACATCAGGTCTGGAATCAGACGAGAGGGTTGTAAGATGCTGCATGAGCTCACTGTAGGCAGCCGAGGACAGGCCTCCCACGTTAAACGTGACAACCTTCAATCTGGATGCAGTGGAGCTGGGAGATGGAACCTTGGTACCATGTGCAGTAGCAGCAGGCCTAGTCTGCTGACGAGGATTGAGCGTGTGCAGTGAGCACCACTTACCACGGTAGAAAGTACCCTGAAGGGGGTTGGCAGTGGCACGCCGACAGGCTCGGGTGTATGCACGTTTTTGTGCGTAGGTATGGCCCTGACAGAGAGCAGGAAGCTGAGCTGCGATAAGCCAGCGGAAACAGCGAGTGATGAAACCTCCCGCAGCAAGACGTGTAGCTGGGACCTTCTTCCCAGGGGCCACAGTTTCACTATGCAAGAAGTCGCAGAAGTCAGTCCCTGATGGAGCGGCGAGGCAATGGTCATAAAAAGGGCCGTAGTCGTGGGGAACATCGAATCTTTGGGATGGAATGGAAGATGTGCGCAAGTGGCCCCGAGAGGCAGCACATAGTAGGTATCGTCCGAGCTTCTCCACCAGTCTACAACCCTCGGTGAGAATGAGCTTCCAACTAGAGGTGTGACAGGTGGATTCAGGGCGTTTGGAGCGCCCAACCCTCGGCTCAGAGAGGTCAGCACAAAGTTTGCCAGAGGGCTCAAGAATGTTATCAACAGTGAGCATCTGCGTGTAACCATTTGTGACCTCCCGCCCATATTTAAGACCGGGTCCAGCGACGTAAACAGACAGATAATGGGAGTCTGTGGGTGAGTGTGGGGATTGATGACCCGGGAATATGTAGTGGAGCACTCTGAACATGACAATGAGGCGCCGATCTTGGAAGGAATGCCGGAAGCATGAACAGGAGGGTACACTGGAGGTGGAACCTCATCATGAGTGCACTCAGGTGTGTCATACCACAGGCACTCCCATGCACTGAGAACGAACAGCGACCTAAGCCCGGCTGGGTGAATCACACTGGTGGCAAGACCTCGCATCACAAGGTTGAGCAGGGTACGACAACGATCAGGCAGATCACAAGAGGATCTGAGTACGAGGCTCCAA